CAGTGTGGTGCCCAGGTACACATCGGCAACGTCGCAGATTCGCACAAGCTCCCGCCCGGCTGGGAAATATCGTACAAACACCAGGCGGCCCGCTGCCAGTCACGGGAGAAATTTTTGTCTACAAATACAGGGTGATTACTGGGAAACGCATGTTTTTGACTTTCGTAGTACATAAGGAATATCGTTCGGTTACGGCCGGAAGTTGTTTAGCTGTGGAGGGGGAAGTGTGCAGTTTCAATTTTTGCCAAGATGTGGGACCTTGAACATCGTACGTTTGTCATGCGTCGATATTACGCAAATGGTGAATTTTAACATTGCACGGCATGGTGCTATCCCTGATCGTAACACGATATTGCGTTGGATACATAATGTTAACTCAATTGGATCTCTGCTTAAGAAGAAACCTCCTAGACTGGCAAGGACAGTTAGTACCCCTGAGACAGTTGAAAGAGTGCGCCTTGCAACAGTTCAGAGTCCTAGCCACGACGGCAGAGCAGTGACAGTGAATCCACAACGGTACCTAGAAATGTTGGAAGAATATTTCTTGCCGGAACTGTGCCATCAACGTGTTGAGATACGTAATGACGTATGGTTCCAACAAGATGGGGCAACAGTCCATAGGGCTCGCATTAGAATGGAATTCCTTCGCCGAACATTCCCTAAAAGAGTTATCTCACGTTTTGGTGGTGTCACTAGGCCGAGCGCTCACCAGGTCTTAAAATTCCAGATTTCTTTCTATGGGGATTTTCGAAATGTCGAGTTTACATAAACAAACCAAAAACAATACAGGAACTTAAAGAAGCTATTTGCCAGGAAATCAACACCATTCCTAGAGATATGATAGCAAAATCCGTAGCAAATTTTTAGGAACACCTTCAACACTGAATCCAAGCAGAATGCGACCTGTAAAATTAACAATGTTCTCTAACCACCACCTTAGAGATGTAATTTTTAAATGCTAAATTGCAAGTAATTTTATTCTGAAATTGCATATTGTGTACACTGTTTTTCCACTCATAAATACATTTTTTGCTCTGAATAACCTGAGTACTCGTTATTTAAAAAACATGCGTTTCTCGGTAATCACCCTATATAAATCTGTTTAACAACCACCTTTGTTCGCATTATAAATCTGTCATATTGGTGTTATTTCTTGTGTCACGGCACACCTGATGGTATTTTGAACAAAATGTTCAGTGTCTTATTAACGATGTTAGCTTACGTTTTAAAAATTAACAGCAGCATAAAAACTATTGTGAATAAAATTTTTAAATGCATGGAAATGTTAACAATGAACCTAAACCTACCAATAAACCATAAAAATGTCAGAAGATTGGCTCAGTGGTTTGTTTACAAATAAATTTTAAACTTCAGTGTTAGTACAGAGTTTCTTAAAAACCGGTACATTTTAGGATCTTTCAACTATATACATTTTTCTGGTAAACGGGAAAAATTTTTAATTGACACCACGTAAAATGTATTTAAACCAGCTTATATTTAATTTTTGTTTCAACAAAATCAGATAATTCATCTCAGAGATATTTAGGCTCAAACTCGAGTGCACATTTATTTCCCTGACAAAGGTGATAAAAAAACTTGTCATCACTCTGTTTTCAATAGTTCAAAAGGCAAAAACAAATAGTGATCATCTCACCTTTCCTGACATAAACATTACTTTAGATACACAAACATAAATTACAACTGAAGTTCCCGGTTAGGTCAAAACACAGTTTGTTGATGTTCAACTAGCTGAATGTTACACTAAAATTAATTGTAAAGCCGTATTGTGTTTAACTTAAAAACAATTAATGGATTACGAAATATCAGATGATTTTTAAAGTCTGATGAAGTAGTTTTCCCAGTGTGATAAAAGTATAGTTTACTACTAAATTTAAAAGTGACCTATTTTAAAGTTTAAAGAGCATGGGAAACACATTGAGAAATACACTATAACTGAAAAAAAAAATTATATTCATTAAAAAATATATATATTCCACTTCAAGTTAAAAACAAGACCATCATACTTTTTCTCCACTTACCTTAACATACACTCTCAAATTCAAAGCACTTGTGACTGATGCTTTAATTATTTTTTTTTTGGGTAAACACAATAAACATTTTAACGCGATTCCACCCTTTTAATTTTTTTCAACTTGTTGAAATATGTCACTTAAGTTTGGTCACTTGATATCACACTCGCCCACCATTGCAAACAAATATTATTAATCTACTGTACTTAATTAAAACCGTTCACCTTAATAACTTATGTATTAAAAATATTGAACTAAAATATATACAGTATAATGACAAGACAACTAAGAAACTAACAAAAAAATAACACCTGTCACGGTCAGATAATGAACATCGACTGAAGTGAAGACATTGTTTTGACACTTGAGATTACATATCAATCGCCAAACAAACATTCCCCCTTCCCACCCTTCGGTGCTTGGGGTGTTGTTATTGGCTGCCATTGGCTCGCCCCCCGGGTCCGCTGCATACCAAAGCGACAGGACTTTGACTTTCTCTTTCTATTAGGCCTTTCTAATAACCGTTTTGGTCTTAAATGATAGGTAATTTAATGTACTTTAAAAATGTTCTAAAAATGTTGTTCTTTATGAAAAAGTGATGTTCAGGGTCAAAATCGGACAAACGTAAAAATAGTGAGAAATTCCGCCTATTTTAAAGCTTTTTGGAGGTGATCCGGAAAGTCGCCGAGGTCGAAAATTTGGATTTAGCATCTCGGTACTATTACAAACAACATAAAAAAAGAAACATACTACCCCATTTCATGAAAGGTAGACCCTGATTTTCATAACAATGTTACTGGGTTATCAACATAACTGTCAAAAAGAACACAAAATGGAGATCATCTTTATGGGGGCACATCAAATTTTAACCTAAATAGCATTCTGGAACTTCAAAAAAAAAGCAATTCGCATTATGTTAAAACTAAAGTCAAAAACATCCGCAAAAGAGCAGTTTAAAGAAATAGGAATTATGACTGTTTTAGCGAATTTCCCTATAGGGAAGTAGCTATTACCGTAGGTCTCATGGTAAGACCTAGACCCGGGACCGATTATCTTTTTCATTTTGATGTCCCCAGAGGCCAAAAACACCATTCGTTCAAATTTTTATATATCTATATATAGATATATATATATATATATATGTGTCCATCCGCACGATAACTTGAGTAATTTTTGTCCGATTTTGATAAAATTTGGTTTGAAGGTGTAAGGCGGGATAAACTCGAACGAGTTCGCGAACCAGCATGATCGGACTATGGGAACGGGGGTTTACGGGGGGTTTTATGGGGTAAAAATAGGTTTTTCCCATTTTTGACCCAAAAAAAATAAAATGTTGCAAAATCTTTTCAAACCATTTTGTAGAGCTTAAAAAAACAAATAATTTAGTATATTGAAGTGTTACTATGTGCCTAATGGTTACGGAGAAAATTCCAAAAAAATGTAAATTTTAAATTCCCATGTTATTCTTATGGAGAATAAGTAAACTGTTGTAGTTTGCTTGTTTATGAACATATTTTGATCAAATTTGGAAAATGTTTTTATTTCTTACTAACTATTAACATTTTATAAAAAAAGTTTTACCCTCCCTGATGCAGCAAACCTAAGTACCTGTTAAAATAATTCTATTTAAATAGGAAATAAATGTTAAATTTTTAAGTAGACATTTTAGTGTAAATCCAATTAGACATATGGAAATTCGCTTAGTCTGCAGGTTTGCTGCGGCGGGGGTATTTAGTTTATACATTTATCAAATAGCCCTTTATATTAAATCAAACCATGAAAGATTTCCAAAATTGAACTCTTTTCATACATATTCAACCAGAAAAGGTAATGAATATGCATTCAACAGACATAATTTATCGGTTTATGAAAAAATCCCATCTTATAGTGGTGTTAAATATTTCAATAGCTTACCTGACAATATAAAAAATATAAGTAATTTTAATTCATTTAAAAAACGTTTGAAATTATTTCTCACCAACAGACCCTTGTATAAATTAGAAGATTTTTTTCCAACTTCCTGAAATTTGATTTTTTGATAATAACAACATTCTTTGTAAGTAGTCTTAAGTTTAATATTGTGTTTTTATAACTGACTCCATTCTGTACAAAATGTGCAATATGAATAAAGTTATTTTGATTTATTGATTAATCAAAATTGATGTATAGATCAATTCAATATGAGCTCAAAACCAATTTGAAAAAAAAATCAATGAACATATATTACAATTCTAAATATGTGCTTGCTAAGCAACGCCAAGCTTAATTCTTAACCTTGAACTTAAATTTGAATTCTGTTATAAAAACAACTAAGTTTGTTGTCAGTAGAGATTGTTATTATTACTAATGAATAAACTTTGCCAATGTATAAAAATTAAAACAAAAAGTGAAGAACGTTGTTTACTGGGATTCACATACATAACCTCAACCTGACAACAAACCAAAGTCAAACAGACGATATCAGATGTAATCTATTACGAAAACAGCTAAAATAGTGTTTGCTAACCGGACCCAATGCAATTAAATTATTGTTAAAAAAATTATAGCTGGAAGCTTTTGGATCAAAACAATGTTCTTTTAAAGCCAATTGTTTGGTGGTTGAAATAGTTGTTTGGTGTTTTAATAATGTGTAAAATACTGAGAGTCGCTGTCAGCAATCATCGGCAATTTATGCGTTTACACATTGCGTCGCTCATGAGCAACGCTGCGGCACTAAAAGGGTTAAATATTGTTGTTTTATTTCAATGTTTAGAAAATATTATAGGATTTAGAGTTTATACCGTTTTAGTGTAATTATAGACTTAGATGAATTTTAATATGTAGAAAACCGTAATGCGGACAGAATTACTGATATGGACTGAGATTTCTCTTAACTTGTCACAGGCAATGCAATACTCGCTTTTTAGCTGATTTCTACAAACATATTTATAGATAATAAAAATAATTTACTTAAATGATGGTTTAAACCAGGATGTAAGGTTGGGGTCTCCAGATAATTCAACCACTACATCTGTAGACCTGGAGGAGATGTTTCCCCCTCTCATATCTGGATCACCTCCATCCAGCATGAATATTGGCTGTGAGAAGAGAGTGACTCCCCCCAGCTCCCCAAATATAGGCCAGAGCAGGTAAAACTAAACCTGCTTCATCTAGACCATTATACCTAATACTATGTTATTGAACAAACTTGAACCAAAACAGCTGATTTTTGTAACATCATTGACTATACACAGAATAGACTTCATTACAGTATATGGATAGTTAATATATTATATTTATAGTTATAGTTCAGGGACAAGTAAAAAAATAATGATTTGTTTTTGTTGTTGTGAGATAATATGTAATTCAAAATCAAAATGATTTTTGCACCATATTATTGGAAATTTCTTCCTTATTTCAGTGATACCACCCTTTTCTTTGTAAACATAAAATATCCCTTGTTCTGATTTTTTTAAACATAGCCTAACGTGTTTGGCAGTTTTATGACACGTAAATGGTGCAACTGACTGCTCGAAATTTGTGTTCACTTTAATGCTCAATTACGGTGATCCTTCTGTGAGTTAAAGTTCATATATTTAACAAAATGCAAGTTTAGAATCTTATCTTTCAAACGGTATGAAAATTATTCTATTTTACTATAGTTTTTAACTATTTATTTGGAGCTAACTAAAACCTTACAAAACACAACTATTATAGTCGCTGCTACTTCAGAAACAGGGTTGGTATGGTCAGTGAAAAGCTGGAAAAGTCAGGGAATTTTGTTGGTCTGGAAAAGTCAGGGAATTATGAAAAAATCTGGAATTTCTCCTGAAAGACTACCTTTTTACAGATATGCTACGTTTTGCTCTAAACATGTTTTTGTCAGGGTGATGACTAATGGCAAAAAGAACGACATAAGTACTGATGCACATTTTTATATTGATAGTTAGTTAGTTATCAGTACGGGGGAGGAATCGATATGTATATAGTTTGAAACAAGTTTTGTATTTGGGAGTGATTAAATAAGTTAAATATTTACATTTTATCTAATATTTCTTGATTTTGATTCGTCGATATCGACTTAAGGTATACCTGGAAAAAGTATAATATCAGTCTGGAAAACCTGGAAAAGTCAGGGAATTTTATTTACCAAATTTAGTACCAACCCTGAAAAACACCTCCCGCGACTATTATAGTCACGCTGCCAGTTGGAAGGTTAATTAAATATCAAGTTATTTATTTGCTTGTGATGAATTCCTCCCCAACTGAAAGCATTGTCAGTTTCAAAAACATCCTTGTATTTATTTATATGAAAACGAGCTGCTTTACCCGTGCTTCGCAGCGGGAAGAAAACGTGGAAAATAATAATGTTTTTAGATTTTTTTTTTTTTTTCTAAAATAAAATAAAATTGCCTTACTTATGGGATAGGCCTACATGGGCAGGTGCCTGTGCGTAGGCCTGGCTGTTATCAGTCTAGCAAATTGAGGGCACACACTAAAATTGGGAAGGTTTTTAAGCCTTGTTAATTAAACTTGATCGTTTAGCGGATAAGAGAATGTCGGCGACGACAACCAAAGCCAGTGCAATCTAAGACAGGAGACATTGTGAGGGCGAGGGGGGTCGAAGGGTCAAGGATTGTTTAGTCAGGGTCAAGTAAGGTTAGGTCTGATCAAAGTTTCGGCCTCTTCATTGGTAATCGTGTACAGTAAAACAAGCATCTGTTTTTTGAATTTCTGTATTGAGGGTAAACTAAAAATGTGTTGAATATTATATTTTTGAATTAGATTTCGATATAGAATCTGAGCAACATAAAAACAGTTGGTAGTTAGAACTGACTTATGTAGCTGAGGGACAGATATTCCAACATTGTGTGAATATCTTGTGTAGTGTTGATGTGTGACTGCTGTAAGGATCGTGTTTGAGTGTTTGAATGTGTGACTAAGAAGAAACTGAATGAAAATATGTCTGACTGGTAATACTCCCGTCTCACGGAATAGCGCCTCAGTGGAGTACCTTTTATTTTTTTTAAAAGCTACTTTCAAAATTGATCTTTGGACCACAGATCTTCCGCTGTATAAAATAGTTACACATCTATTATTCATTTTAGAATAAAAACTCCATCTCACCACCTAGGGAAGTAAAATTAATTTCTTTATGGGGTTTAAACTTCCTAGTCAGCCATTACAGTATATAAGTGGTGCTGATGTGTGTTTAAAAATACAGCAACTCTATGATTTAATTTAAAAATAAAAATATAAAAGTGTAAACCTAAGAAACCTACTTACTTTCAAACCCCTACTATTGATATTAATAGATCCAAAAGAATATGACTACATACCCTACTGTAACAATTAAATTAAATAACTAAAACTTTGCAAGCATGTCAGGCGCAGCCCTTATGGAAATTGGCCTGTGCGGTAGAGCCCTTAAGACATTCGTCCATACCAATATTTTTCGGCAAATATACATACTCTAAGCTTAATTTTGATGCGCTATATGTCTATACTTTTTCTTGACAAAAGGCCTTAAACGTTTACACAAATTGGAATGTATCACTTTTATAATATAATAGATATTGTAGACATAAACCAGCAGCTTGTTTGTGTGGTCTCCAGTTGGCAGTTGTTGTGTATGATTGAATTGATGTGGTTTTCATTTGTCAGAGAGCTGTGTGAGCCATTAGAGCTACAGTTGGACTACTGGCTCTTGCCTGGCAAGTCCTTGGATGCCAGAGGTGATGTAGTCTCAGTCAACTTAGACAAAAAGAAGACTGACTCAACCAAGTCCTCATTGAAATCCACTTTCCGCTCACTACAAGTCGCTCGACTGCCTTTGCTTGGTGAACAGCCAACTCCCCACTTCACTATCAGCTACTCCACAAAGGAGAAGAAACAAAAGAGTTGAGTACCTAACTGTAAAATAATGTAATAGTAACACCCCTGATGTAGTAAACCTGCAGACTAAGTTAATTTCCAATTGTCAATTTTGATTTTTATTAAAATATTTCCCTAATTATGTAAGAGTACTTCGGTTTACTGCTCCAGGGAAGTATAAAATGTGTGATTTTAGTTAAAAGTTAATATAAGCCTACAGTAGAACCACTTATATACGATCTCAGCTTAACCAACACCTCGAGATATTCAACCGTCTACTTGTTTCCTGTCTGGGGTGATAATCCCAAGCGTGTTAGGTTAAACAAAAGGCCAATTACGGATGTTGTAGTATGGCAGTAGACAGTCACCGCTATCGCCAAGACATGCTGTCGCCTTTAATACATGCTCACTGGTGTCGCCACAGTTGCAGTATGTTATTACCGGTGTTGCCGAGACGGCAAAACATACTCATGGGTGTTGCCACAGTTGTAGAAGGTGATTACCGGTGTCACTGAGACTGCAGGACAACTCCTGAGTGTTACCACAGTAGTTGTGGGAGGTTATTACCGGTTTTGCCGAGGTGGCAAAACATACTGACGGGTGTTGGCACAATTGTGGGAGGTGATTACTGGTGTCACTGAGACTGCAAGACAACTCACGGGTGTCACCACAGTTGTGGGAGGTTATTACCGGTGTTGCCGAGACTGCAAAACCTGCTCATGGGTGTTGCCACAGTTGTGGAAGGTGATTACCGGTGTCACTGAAACTGCAGGACAACTCATGAGTGTTACTACAGTAGTTGTGGGAGGTTATTACTGGTGTTGCCGAGATGGCAAAACATACTGACGGGTGTTGCCACAGTTGTGGGAGGTGATTACCGGTGTCACTGAGACTGCAAGACAACTCACGGGTGTCACCACAGTTGTGGGAGGTTATTACCGGTGTTGCCAAGACTGCAAAACATGCTCATGAGTGTTGCCACAGTTGTGGAAGATGATTAACATAGATGATAAACAAGATTAGTTTAAGAGTTAACTTTTTCTCGATAAGAAAAACATTTAAATTTCAAATGTACAGTACAGTTTTTTGAAATTGTCTCTATACCTTTAATCCTAGAACCATGTGTCAACTAAGTAATTTAGTTTATAAGCTTGACTCGATATTTGAAATCAAGCGAATATGCAGCAAGCGAGATCATTACTGGTCCTAAATGCCTTTTGTCTTTCAGCTATCACTTAATGATGCTATCTAACAAAAGTTTGACGTAAGATAGTAACTCGGCCTGGGTTTGGACCGTTCCCTTTCTGGACCGTTCCCTTTCAAAAAATAAATAAAAATAATTTAAAATCGTGCTATGGTAAATTACTGTATTTTGTTGTTCCAGTTATGCGGTTAGGTAAGAAGAAAGAAAAGGAGAAAGAAAATGAACCCAAGAACCAGGTCGTAGAGGGAGTCTCAAGATTAATTGTGTCACCCAAAGCTCAAAATATCCCCCTTAAGTGTAAGTGCTAAGATATAAAGCTGAAAATCAATGGTCTAAGATTTATTTGTCAATTTAAATTTGAACTACAGCATCTGCTGAAAAATTATATGTATATAATTGAGAACTATTTGCACTGTGAGCAGAACAAAATATTTGGTGCTGTTAAAAGATGTGCTAGCAATTTTTAAGTCATTAAACAACACAATGCCATGTAGGTAAAACTGATACACAGCAAATCTATGATGGATTTTAAACTTGTGTTTCAATATACAGTAGACGCACACTAATCCAGCATGTTCGGGACTTTGGTGATGCCAGATTATTGAAAATTCCTGATTACTTGAATGTAACGGAATATGTAATGGTAACCGTTATTACAAGACTAATGAAAATACCGCTATTTTTAGAGCTTTGAGTGTCTGCAGATCGCTATTAATGTTTGCCAATTGCCTCAGATAATGCAGTTCGCTGCGGATGTTTGCCGATCCCTCCCTACTCCGCCAAATGTTACCAACAACGCCAAACTCGCTACCCAAGTTTTCGGAACATGTTAATATGGCTTGAAACAGCATTCAATTTTTTTTTAGACAGATGCCGGATTATTAAAAGCACCATGCCGAATTGGCGAGCTTTTACTATTTCAGGGATTCTGAATACAAAAGTGATATGGGTTCATTTTGGAAAACCCTGAAAACTCATGTATAGAGGATGAAATCCTACAGGTTAAGTCCAGGTATCGATACAGGTTAAGTATGGCCTCTAGATACTTAACACCAGTTTATAGTTGTCACGGCTTAAAGTGCAATGGGACAAAATTTCCTATTTCCTATTCTAGTAACAGTACTGGAGTAAGCCTAAACTTTTTATTGTTCCAGTTCCAGTGTGTATCGATGGGACAGAGTGGTCTGGAGTCAAGTTCTTTCAACTCTCTGCTCAATGGCAGACTCACATTCGCCATTTACTGTTTCCTATACTAGTAACAGTACTGGAGTGAGCCTAAACTTTTGATTGTTCCAGTTCCAGTGTGTCTCGATGGGACAGAGTGGTCTGGAGTCAAGTTCTTTCAACTCTCTGCTCAATGGCAGACTCACATTCGCCATTTACTGTTTCCTATACTAGTAACAGTACTGGAGTAAGCCTAAACTTTTGATTGTTCCAGTTCCAGTGTGTATCGATGGGACAGAGTGGTCTGGAGTTGAGTTCTTTTAACTCTCTGCTCAATGGCAGACTCACATTCACCATTTACTGTTTCCTATTCTAGTAACAGTACTGGAGTAAGCCTAAACTTTTGATTGTTCCAGTTCCAGTGTGTATCGATGGGACAGAGTGGTCTGGAGTCAAGTTCTTTCAACTCTCTGCTCAATGGCAGACTCACATTCGCCATTTACTGTTTCCTATTCTAGTAACAGTACTGGAGTAAGCCTAAACTTTTGATTGTTCCAGTTCCAGTGTGTATCGATGGGACAGAGTGGTCTGGAGTCAAGTTCTTTCAACTCTCTGCTCAATGGCAGACTCACATTCGCCATTTACTGTTTCCTATTCTAGTAACAGTACTGGAGTAAGCCTAAACTTTTGATTGTTCCAGTTCCAGTGTGTATCGATGGGACAGAGTGGTCTGGAGTCAAGTTCTTTCAACTCTCTGCTCAATGGCAGACTCACATTCACCATTTACTGTTTCCTATTCTAGTAACAGTACTGGAGTAAGCCAAAACTTTTGATTGTTCCAGTTCCAGTGTGTATCGATGGGACAGAGTGGTCTGGAGTCAAGTTCTTTCAACTCTCTGCTCAATGGCAGACTCACATTCGCCATTTACTGTTTCCTATTCTAGTAACAGTACTGGAGTAAGCCTAAACTTTTTATTGTTCCAGTTCCAGTGTGTATCGATGGGACAGGGTGGTCTGGAGTCAAGTTCTTTCAACTCTCTGCTCAATGGCAGACTCACATTCGCCATTTACTGTTTCCTATACTAGTAACAGTACTGGAGTGAGCCTAAACTTTTGATTGTTCCAGTTCCAGTGTGTATCGATGGGACAGAGTGGTCTGGAGTCGAGTTCTTTCAACTCTCTGCTCAATGGCAGACTCACATTCGCCATTTACTGTTTCCTATACTAGTAACAGTACTGGAGTGAGCCTAAACTTTTGATTGTTCCAGTTCCATTGTGTATCGATGGGACAGAGTGGTCTGGAGTCGAGTTCTTTCAACTCTCTGCTCAATGGCAGACTCACATTCGCCATTTACTGTTTCCTATACTAGTAACAGTACTGGAGTGAGCCTAAACTTTTGATTGTTCCAGTTCCAGTGTGTATCGATGGGACAGAGTGGTCTGGAGTCAAGTTCTTTCAACTCTCTGCTCAATGGCAGACTCACATTCGCCATTTACTGTTTCCTATACTAGTAACAGTACTGGAGTAAGCCTAAACTTTTTATTGTTCCAGTTCCAGTGTGTATCGATGGGACAGAGTGGTCTGGAGTCGAGTTCTTTCAACTCTCTGCTCAATGGCAGACTCACATTCACCATTTACTGTTTCCTATACTAGTAACAGTACTGGACAACTTTTAGGTTTTTCTGATAATTCACTAAAATGGATGAGATCATATCTTCAGAGCCGAAAGCAGTGTGTATGTCATGACAACTTGACGTCCGACTGGAGAAATGTTCCCTGTGGAGTTCCTCAGGGTTCAATTCTTGGCCCACTACTTTTCACTGTTTACATTAATGACATTAGTACAGTACTACACCACGTAAAGTTTCATTTTTATGCTGATGACCTGCAAATTTATTCTCATTTTAAAGTCAGCGATATAAATGAAGCTATAGACATAATGAATCACGACATTGACAACATTGTTCAATGGGCAGCACAGAATGGACTTAGACTCAATCCTGACAAAACAAAACCAATCATTATAGGTCACTCACGTTTACTAAACAAACTTGAAGAAGACAATTTACCAAAACTCACTGTAAATGGAATTACTTTGCAATATCAAAACAAAATCAAAAGTCTTGGATTGCTGATGAACCGCACATTAGACTGGACTGACGCGGTGGTAGATACTTGTAAAAGAGTATTTGCCGCCATTCACACAATGAAGAAGATGCAACGACTCCTTCCTTTTCACATTAAACTCTTACTGGTCAAATCACTTGTGTTTCCACACTTCAATTACTGCAACACTGTGGTTAATGATATGACTGTGGCTTTGGCAACAAAACTACAACGTGCACAAAATTATTGTATTAGATTTCTGTTTGACCTTAGGCAGGACGACCACGTCACACCTTATTACATAAATGAATCAATTTTGAAATTAGATGACCTCAGAAAACTCCGAATACTTTCAATCACTCATTCGGCTATCAATCTTGGAATTCCAAATTACATTGCAAAGAATTTTGAATTTTTGAATGAAAGAGGTGCAAGGGATACTCGCTCTGGCTCGTCTACGTTGCGCATTCCTCGTCACAGAACAACTATTTATAATAAATCATTTGTAGTCACAGCATGCCGCCTATGGAACTCTATACCCGATGCCATTAAATCCATAGAAAACCGATCCCGACTGAAGGCGACACTGAAAGAATATTATCTCAACCGGATGGTAGTGGCGTGGCGGGATGGCGTGCGTTAGGCTTAGCTGCTGCAAAGAGTGTATGTGTGTGTGACTGTATGCTAGGAAAATAAATGTATGTTATGTTGTTTATTATTAATTATGTTACGAAATGTGTATTTTACTTTTGTTCATATCATGTATTATTGTTATTACTATTATTATTTAGAGGTTAACTGTAAGAAAGGACCATGAGGTCCTAAGTTCGCCTCAATAAAGAAGGATTTTCATTTCATTTTCATTTTACTGGAGTAAGCCTAAACTTTTGATTGTTCCAGTTCCAGTGTGTATCGATGGGACAGAGTGGTCTGGAGTCGAGTTCTTTTAACTCTCTGCTCAATGGCAGACTCACATTTGCCATTTACTGTTTCCTATTCTAGTAACAGTACTGGAGTAAGCCAAAACTTTAGAATTTTCTTAGAGAGCTCCTGTTGAAATTTGATCAATCTTTCCCATTAAAATCTGTTAAAATAAATTCTAGTAATTAAAGTAAGTGTAATAAAATGTGGATAACACCTGGCTTATCTGCAAAAAAGAAAAGACTATTGCATATGTTGGATAAAAAAGTGGTAACATTGATTTTAAGAATTACTAGTGTCACTGTTGCTCGAAATCGAGCAATTGCTAAGTATTACAGGCGTTATTTTAAAACGAATAACAGTCATATTTTTTTATGACTATAAAAGATTCGACTCAAAGATTATGGAATACTCAAGATGTACATAACCAAACGATATAATCAACATTTCTTGAAATATCTTATCATTTTTCAAAAGCTGATTTTGTTTTTTAGTGTTTATAACACACATTATTTCTATTTCTTCCCCTTGGTGGTGTTCTATGACTTTCCTATGTTTCCATAGTTTGCAAATCGTCTCTTTCAATGATTACTAAGAAATGCAGCACAGTGTTAATTCAGTTTTCTTTTTAGTATATCAATTTATCCAGGCTCTCTCGTTTTTCCCCATTGTAATAATTACGCCAACCCAAATTCAAATAGTAACCATTTCAACCGAGTAAGTAAATGTTTGTGGCAAACTAACTGTTAAATTAGCAAACTTATTGACTGTTTACAATTAACATATGTTCTTCTTCTCACTTTTAATTTCTGACAACAGCTGGAGTTTCATAACAATATTTGTTTCCCATGTTAATCTTATGGAGAAATACAAAACTTTAAAGGGCCCCAGGGCCTCACCCTCTAATTATTTCCCTAAAAAGAAAGTTTCCTGCACAACTTCACGTTACGCTCTTTCCAATGACACCAAGAACATGTAAATCGGTTCAGTAGTTTCGGAGGAGTATTTGTCACAAAAAACCTGCTTGCGTATTAAATAAGTACGAGGTGTAAGCCCGTCCTACGTACGGAAATTCTGTAGTCAGTTAAAACCGTGTACAATTCAG